GACTGGTCTCTGGATAACTTGCCCAAAATACGTGAGATGAAGTATCGCCATCCTCATCCCTACGGAGGTTTCTAGGTACTTCCTTCAAGACAGATTTGTTTGTTCTTCTGGCAGCCTATTCTACATCAGTATCATAATTCAACTCCAGCAAATTCAACTTCTATGATCTTCCTTATTCATGGTCCAGTTTTCACACTCACAAGAGACAACTTGAAGATAAGACGGCTTGGGTCAGACTCACCTGAGGCCCTAAAGTGACAACTTTGCTCTGTAACAGTTTGAAGGGAACCTTGTGCAGCAGATTTTCCCAGTGCAATACATCATTTGATTTCTTGACTTTTCTTCCCATGACTGTTGGTTGTGAAACCAAATGAACTAAAATCCCTGACCACTCTCCAGTGAGGCTGCCTGTTGGCCCAATTGTAAGGATTTGGGCTTCCTTTACATTGAGCTGTAATCATACTGGAGGCTGCAGTCCTTGGTGTTCATCATCAGTAAGTGCCACAAGTCTACTTGGCTTTCAGCAAGCAAGGTTATATTATCTGCATATTGCAGGTTGTCAATAAGTCTACCTCAAATTCTGATGGCATGTGTGTTAGGCAGGGTTCTCTAGAGCAGCAAGACTAGGACAAAATTGTGTGTATATATATATATATATATATAATAGCTAAGTTTATATAGCTAAAAGGAATATTATAGTAAATTAGTCCACAGAGCAGTACAGAGAGCTCAGTCCCAACTCATTTTTGTGAGACAGTACAAAGATGAAGTGGTGAAGTATAGCACAGGCCAGTAGCCAGGTTGGCTCAGCCCACAGGTAGCAAAGCACACATGGTGAGGCAGGGCAGCTAGCTCAGGAAGCACACTGGTCCAACCTCCAGGGCCACCAGGAAAAAAAAGAGAGGGGCTGGCTCTCCAGCGAGCCATTTATCGCAGTCGTGCCTCCAAAGGAGGTCATCAAGCTGCGATCTGATTGGCAGGCTAAACTCCACCCATATTTTCTTACGGGTGCCATGTGGGCACAAAAAAACTGATCACAATGCATTTTTCTTCATATAGCCCAGGGTCTCAGATGATTTCCTCAGCATACAGATTGAATGAGTATGGTGAGAGGATGCACACTGACACACATTTTTCCAGATTTTAAACCAAGAAGTGTTCCCAAGGTCTGTCTCCGGGGCTGCTGCTTAGCTATGTAAAGGTTCTACATGAATACAATGCAGTGTTCTAGAATTCCCATTCTGTCTTGGTATGACCTAGTAAGTCCCAGTTTGTTGAAACATTGCAGTGAGTATTCCTGTAGTTCTTGGAGTCTTGTTTTTCAGGAAGGCCTTCAGTGTAGTTTGGACCGCCTTCTAACCACTGGGCACTTCAGAGGAAGGAAAGCCAGCTAACCACTTCCTGTGAAGAATCCAGCAAAACCAAACTTGCTGCCGGGAGTCAACACCAACTCATAGCGCCCGTCTGTGGGTTTCCAAGATGTA